TTGTGATGGATTTTGGGGGTGAAAATCAAAATTTTCGAACTTCTGACGCGCTGTCTGATGCATGCGCGCTGAGCGCACGCGACGACGCGCTGAGCGCACTAAAGAATAGAACTTTCTGTCAGGATGCGTCCTGAGCGCACGCGACAACGCGCTGAGCGCATTGAAGAACAAAGCTTTCTATCTAGAGCGCGCTGAGCGCATTTATCCATGGGTTGAGCGCATTTCGAAATGGGCTGAGCGCATGAGTCTACGTGCTGAGCGGGCTATTTCCAGTGGCTCTCTGTCTCAAGCGCGCTGAGAGCACGGGTCTACACGCTGAGCGCATATAGTCATGGGCTGAGTGCACGTGGTGACGCGCTGAGCCGGCAAAGCCTGATAGGCTCCCAATTTTAGTTGCGCTGGGCGCAAATACCACTGCGCTGGGCGCATGGTTTCTTTGAGGAAAACCTTTTATAATTGAGTTTTTATGAAACTTTTAAATGTTGAATCATATCATCTTTGATGTTATATATTTGGTATGGAATGTGACATGGTTTTGGAAAAGATTGCATGTAATTATGGAATGTGCTTATGTGTGTTTGGTTTGGAAAGCTAATAGGACTTAGAGGAGTAAGGTTATGGTATGGATTGGAATATCTCTTAGTGAGATTTGGATATAATCTTTGGAAAAATATGAAATTTGGGAGTCCCATGGTGAGGATTCCAATATGGAACTTTTCCAAAGATTATATAATAAACCACTTCAGATGTTAGGTGGATTCTGAAGTACTCCTCTAAGTATTCTATTTGCTACCGGTATGGGGGCAAGGCCGAGTCATACCGATGGATGAAGTGGCCGCGATCACCAGGGTTACGTGATGACGTAACCCAACTGTATATTTTCCATGAGAGGTTAGGTGTGTGACATGGGCAGGTGACGTGTTCATGAATTCAACACTTGGTTTGGATGTGTTGAGGTCAACATTTGGTTTGGATGTGTTAGCTACTTCATGGGATTATACAGTGGTGTGACTTTGGTTTGGATGTGGAATATGTATGCATTTGGTATGGATTGTATACATTGGTTATGGATTCTTTATTATCATAGAATATGTATGCATTGGCATGAATGTGTATACATTGGATTTTGGATTGGTTTATATTTGGCATGGAAATGACTTGTTATAATGTTGTCATTCCCTTGGTATGGATACATACTGTTGATGAATATCTAGTTTAATGATATTTCATTATGTTGTACTATGGTTGGTTTTATACGTGTTAACCCTTATATTTTCATGATGTGGACTGTGATGATCTCACTATGTGGGGGAGCATATCAGGTGTGAGGCTTTGGGATAGCAAGGAGTCTTTTGGTTGCTGCTTTGAGAAGTGGCTAGGCTTAGAGCTTGACCAGCACCTAGGGTGTCTTATTTTGATGTCTTCATGACGTTGTATATTCATTATCTTTTTGGATGACTGTATAACCTTGCTGAGGATAACTCTTTTATAAAATTATGTTTTATATGATGAAAACAATTTATACGTTATTATATATTTACACTCTAGTGTAGCTGGCCTTTGCTCTATTTTCTTTATTATATATTATTTTATTTTAGTTGTCATATTGGTTATTGATGTGACAGCCTACGGCGGGTCGTTACAGTAGTTTCATTGAAGAATAAGTAATGGACGAAGTTTTCAATATGATTTAGCAGGTAGGTAAAATTGCGTCTGAAATGTAAATAGATAGTGCAAAGATTTTTATACTGGTTCGCTCAGACTAAACTACGTTCAGTCTCCTTCAAATGAAGGGTTCCACTAGATATTCAATTATGTACATGTATTATTTGTTTAGCCTCTTTAGACTCGCAGTGAGTATTATAAACCACCCAAGTCACGACCACTCCTAGTCGGCCAACTTCACTCATTGGCTTTAGTATTCTTTAATCAGCTTCTTCAAGCTAGCAGTGAGTATTATAGACTACCCAGGTCACAACCACTCCTGGTCGGCCAACTTCACTCATTGACTCTAGTATTCTTTAATCAATCTCTTCAGGCTAGCATGAGTATTATAGACCACCCAGGTCACGACCACTCATGGTCGGCCAACTTCACTCATTAGCTCTAGTATTTTTTGTTTAGCCATTTCTAGCTCTCAGTGAGTATTGTTGACCAACTCCTAGTATTCTTTGTTCAGCCACTTCTGGCTCGCAGTGAGTATTCTTTGACAAGCCTCTCCAGGCTTTTACAAGTATTCTTTCCCTAACCTCTTCAAGCTTTACAAATGATGAATATACGGTTTGGTTTGAGTGTTTGGTTTACTCTCACAGAGAGGATATATATGTTTGTACACTCACTAAGATATGCAACCTTAGTTTTACAAGGATTGAGTGTGTGGTTTACTCGCACAGAAAGGATACATATATTTCTAAACTCACTAAGGTTCATGTTCCTAAGTTGCACTTGGAACTCCTTAGTCTACAGAGATAAATATATCATTGTAGATTTGGCTCTATAGGCTCTACATCTGGTTTCTTTGCTTCATGGGCTGAATATCACTCTTTGCTCATCTTCGCCAAAAGCCAACCTTTCAAGGTTTGATGTAGTGATATATATAGTCTTGTAAAATATGCCCGTTGCAAGTGTCCGTTGAAGCAAAATATAGTCGTTCATGACTAGTTCGATCTTCTCATTTAATGCTTAAGATCTTGCATTAAATGTTGCTTCCCGTTTATAAACCTTGCGTGAAGTCTTTTTCGTTTGTTAGCAGCAGTGTCTGACTTTAGCTAAGACCTAGGAACCTTTTTTTCTTTTTCTAGTCATATAGCTGTAAAGCATTGTCCTTATCTGAAAAAGTAATGTACTTTTTCTGACACATGCATGCTTTTACTTTTGCGTGCTTTTCTTCTTCTTCTTCTCTTCCTTTAATCACGCGATCATGTTGAGAACATTTAAATGATTGTAGACGATGCCTTAATTTGTCCTTTGAGACTTGATTCTTCATAGGCTTGCATGGTAGTCTTCGTCTGCATCTGGTTTGTGTCTCAAGATCTGATCTTCATCTGAACATTTGACATTAATGCTTTGACTCTCTTTTGATCTAGTCAACATTATATATGGACAAACTTTGCTTTTGTTTGGAATATCTTTCAGTCTGTGTTGTCCTTTGTCTGATGCGTAGTTGACTTTCTTTTGATCCTTGACTGATGGAATCATGCTTTGGAGTGCAAGAGGTGACATACTCAAAGAACCAAGAGGAGTTGGCTAGACATGAAGGTTTGGGCCAGTCAGGGCCCAATGGGCCTGATGGGCCTAGGAAGGCCCAAGTTGAACTTTTCATGGGCCATATTTTGTTATAGCTATTTTCATATGTTTTGTATACATCATGTTAGTATAGGTATCATATATTTTGGTCTTGTATTTTGGACCACATAGAGTAGCATTTTAGGTTTTAGGCTAGTTGGGCCTAGTTTTGGGCTTCATGGGCCTTTGGGCTTTTGGTACCCAATATTGGGCTCATTTTCATTCTTGTAATTTTTCCTTTCCATTGTAATTGTTTGACCAATGTAATTAGGTCATTAGAATAGGAAAATACAAAGAATACTAAAGTATGCTAATTAGGTTAAATTAGGTTTAATTTGGAAGTCATTTAAGTTACATTTGAGTCACATGTTTAGCACCATGGGTGGCTGAACATGTGCCACTCAAATTAACCCTAAATGACTCTCAAATCACACCTAAATGCACCTTGGTACCTAAATTTTCGGACTTACACATGTGCACCAAAGTTTGAATTCAAAATTCAAATTTGAATTCAAACTTTAGGCGCCATTTTGTGAGGCTTTAGTTTAGGCACCTATGGGTCACAATTCCGTGCATACTTAAGCCATTCTTTCACCTTTTGTATTCACTTTGAACCTTATATGAAATTTGAGAGCCAAGAGCCGAATTTCCTTTTCAAAGTCTTCTTGAGAATTCACCTCAAAAACCTAGGGAGTTCATCTTCTTCCTTCTCTTTGAAGTGAGTCTTCCATTGATCTTTGAGCTTGGATGCTTCCATCCAAGGCTTGAGCCTTCATCCATCCGTGTTGCTTCATCAATTAAGTTCCATTTCATTCGGTAATATCTCCTTGAAGAGGATCCGTGGCTAAGAGGAGCTAAGGAGAAGAACATTCATCACTTCTCACTAACCTCTTCCATCATTGACCAATACTTCGTTTGAGTCTTCATGTTGCGCTTTAAGTTGTGCTTGACATACCTACGTTTGATATTTGATTTATCATCGTCTGGCGCACATATCATATTTTATCTATTCAGTTGACTTGGTTTGTTTGATTCTCATGATGTGCCTTGCCTTGACTTTTCTTCATCTGAGTTGACCATTGGGCTTCATTTGATGTTTGAAGCTTTCGTCTATGGTCTTGTTTTGCCCTTTCAGTCTGATGCCTTCTTTTGCAATGTATGAAGTGGCTCTTGTTCCATTTTTTCACAACTTGCCTGTACTTATATTTTATTGAAACACTACACACTTGTTAGAAATAACAACATGTATTATATTTGTCTCATTTATAACCTTACTGAGAATTATTTTGTCCTCGTATGACTTAACATTTATGATCTGAGGTTCAAATTTTTTGTAAGAATAATTAATTTTTAATATTATTTTTATTATTTAAAATTTTTAAAATAAAATAGTCCTATGTAATCGAAAATAAATAATTACTTTTATATGAAAACTAGTGATTATCTTTATAAGAAAAAAGAAATTTTAATATTATTTTTATTATTTAAAATTTTTAAAATAAAATAGTCCTATGTAATCGAAAATAAATAATTACTTTTATATGAAAACTAGTGATTATCTTTATAAGAAAAAAGAAATTTTAATATTATTTTTTATTATTTAAAATTTTAAAAATAATTTTTTCTAAAAATTATGTATAGCAAATGTAAGAATTTCTGTATCTATGTATGTATCCGCGGAGATATAGTGTGTCAAGAATGCATGTCTAACTCTATAGTTAACTTTGAGAGAGAAATATCTGAGAAAACAAAATCGTAATCCATGGGCAGGGCTTCATTTTTCTCGTTACCGCTTCACATTGGAAGCCTCGTTTCTCAATCTCCGCAACCGCGTCTGGTTGTGGCAGCTTCTTCCGATGGCGCTGCCGCTTCCTCATCAACCAAGTTGCTCACTTTTCTTGGCAAAGGTGGCTCCGGCAAAACCACCGCCGCTATTCTCGCCGCTCAGGTCCCTTTTTCATCTTTACAATTTCTAATTCCCCTCGCATTTCCAACTTTTTTCTTAACCTCAATGTACTTGAAAAAAATATATATATGTATACATTGTGAATGAGTAAAGTGTTTATTACCAATCTGTTATAATATTTCTTAGTTCTAGGAATTCGGATATAATTCGAAGAACAGAGATGAAACAGGGAACCTTATAAGAGAAAAGGTTCCGAAGAGTTTATTGTGTATTTGAGAGTTTACAAGAAAGGAGATCTAGATACAACAAAAAGTGTCTCTCTAATTGTTTACTGGCTCTTTATATATAACTCTCAAAACTGAATCTAACAATTTCCTTAAAAATGGGACACACGTAACTAACTCATATCCAACAACTAGCAATATTATTCCTCAGCCTTATTTCATATCACAATCAAGAGAGGAAGAATTGGTTTTCTATGGTTTATCTAAAGATTAGCATCTTTGAGATTGAAGAATGCAATTGGATTGATTCCTACGTGAAAGTGCTTTTGTACATTTACTTATGCGACTTTTCTGAGCCTCAAAGTTGAAAAGGAACAAAAAAAGGTCACTAGTGTAGTGAAGTTCTTTTTGGAATCGACAACAACGGAACCTTTCTATGTAGCTTTTTCATCTCTTGCTCACATGTTCCTATTTCAGCCACACAACTTAGGATCTGTTTAGTTTGGGTGTTTCATGTTGAAAGTAGGAAACAAAGTGAAAATTATGTGACATTATTGTAATTATTTGTTAAACTGGAAACAAAAACATAAAATGTTTTCTCAAACTAAGCAGATCCTTAATTCTTTTTTATTGTATTGAAGAGAACTTTCATTTTGCTGCAAATATTTACTTGATATAAGTCATAATCATCTGAGTTCAACAGTGGAAAAGTATTTAATCTCCCTCTTTTTATTTTTATTTCATGTGCCTTTTATTTCAGCACTATGCGATGGCTGGATTGAATACATGTTTAGTGATACACAGCCAAGACACCACTGCTGACTATCTCCTCAGCTGTAAGATTGGAACTTCCCATGTCGTGTGCGGCAAGAACCTTTCTGCTGTTAGGTTGGAAACAACTAAAGTGAGTGTGATGCTTTCTCCTTTTCCTTCCCCTATATAAATTTGTGTGTACTCTTGGTTGGTGTCTAAGGAATATGTATATTGCTCTGTAAGTGCAGATGCTTCTTGAACCTCTAAAACTTCTGAAGCAAGCAGATGCCCAACTTAATATGACTCAAGGCACACTTGGAGGGGTGGGTACGTAATATGTTTTCAATATCTTATTTTATCTGTATTTATGGTGGACATGTATTCCCTATTTCCCTTGATCTAGTTTTTATAGCGGGCCTCTGTCCTCTTTTCTGTCATATAATAGATTGTTGGAGAAGAGCTTGGCATTCTGCCTGGGATGGACCCTTTTTTTTTGGTACTTGCACTTGAGAGGCTTGTAGGATTTCTGGGGATTGCAGCTTCAAAGAGTCAGCAAAATAATTTTGACCTAATAATATATGATGGTATCAGCAGTGAGGAAACCCTGCGAATCATTGGTGGAAGCAGTAAAGCAAGGTTGGTTTTGGAATTTTCACTCTCTTACACTCATATGCACACCCTTACCATTATCTTTGGCTTGATATTGTGATTTTGTAGATTGTACTTGAAACATCTCCGCTCCTTGGCTGAGAAAACTGAACTTGGGAGATTGGCTGCTCCTTCACTACTGAGACTTGTGGATGAAGCCATGAAAATCAGTAGCAGAAAATCTTATTTCAATGGGAAAATGAGTTCAGAAATATGGGACAGTTTGGATCATATGCTGGAGGTAAGAGTAACTTTCTTTGTTGATTGTGTGTTAACCATTTTAACATAATCATATTCATACCTTAACACAAGACTATAATTTTCTTTGTTGATTGTGTGTTGACCAGAGAGGATCTTCTGCCTTCTCAAACCCGCAGAAATTTGGTTGCCTCCTTGTGATGGATCCAAACAATCCAACCTCAGTCAATTCTGCATTACGATATTGGGGATGTACAATTCAGGCCGGTGCTCAGATTTCTGGTGCTTTTGGAATCACCTCTCTGCAAGAAAATTTAGAATCATTGGAAAGAGCAAAGAAAGAGTTTTCTCCTTTGCCTTCTGCTTTCATATCAAGTTTGTCAATGAATGGCCCGGTAGATTGGAGCAGAGTTCTACTGGACACAGTCAATGAAGATGCTAGGCATCTTCTTAATTCACTGTCAGGACAATGCAATGAAATACCATTGCCAGTTAGATTTGATAATATAAAAAAATTGGTTACTCTCTTCATGCCAGGTTTTGACAAATCAGAGATCAAGCTATACCAAGTATGATATGCTTCTGTTCATATATTATATGAAATTTTTTTAACTGATATTGATGGTGCTCATTTTGAAATATTTAACAGAAATGAGATGAATATTATACTCTTGGGCATAGAAGTTAAAAATTGAAATATATTTTTGGTCCCTATAATAAATTTTTTTAATTTGGTTCTTGTAATTTTTTTTTATATTAGTCCTTGTAATATTTAATTTTCATTTTAATCCTTATACTATTTTGTTCATTTTGGTTGAACTGGATAGCTTGAATTCTATGGTTGTATTGGATGTTTATGTTTGACACTTGTCATATTGTATTATGGTGCTTCTCTTTCTATCACAGATTATGCTCGCTACATGGTGCAAGTTTGTGCATTTTTCTATGTGCATATCTCATAATTGAGATGCTGATTGCTTTTTCTGTTTGTCTGTTTCTCTTAAAAATATACCAAATGCAGTACAGAGGAGGATCTGAGCTTTTGGTTGAGGCAGGAGACCAAAGACGTGTCATTACTTTGCCTCCAGAAATTCAAGGAAAGGTTGGCGGAGCCAAATTTGAGGACCGAAATCTTGTTATTACGTTGCTATGACCCTATTATTATTATTATTATTATTATTATTATTATTTTTACCTTCTATGCTAGCTGATAACTATTGATGTTTCAGCAGAGGTCATTCTTCTTACACCTCATTTTTTGCATGACTTGCTTTCATAAATGATTATGGAAAGGAATAAGAATAGCATATTACTGCTAGATTAACAGCAGCATCATATATATTTGGAGAATGCCTGTTCTGATTTATGCTGGTGTAGTAAATATGTCTCTTGTTCTTTCTCTCCTTTGAAATTTACACATGAAATTATTGGCCCCCAGCTGTTCGATCAAAATAATCTGAGAGTTCGTTGAGTTGCTATTAGACCTAAGCATTTGATGAGAGTATTGAATATTGTTCAGTTGAATTTCTTATCATAGGGATAAACATGAAAATAGGCAGGTAGGATCATGTTGGAGTTCAAAGTAACAATTACAATATGACTCTCTTATCATCATTGTATAACATCCAATATGTATAGGCTATGCAAAATAAAGCAAGATGAAATTTACAGCTGAAAAGGCAACATATATTTATATGAGAGACGCAGCTACAAAAGAAGGGTAAAAATTCTGATGGATATCCTATATTTCTGATTTGATATCTTCACTAGCTCGAGAGGTTTGGATGCGACTCCTTAGGTCTTCAAAAGCCTTCATGCTCTCTGCATCAAAGCCTCCTGCAAACTGAAAAGAGTTCAACACCATCATTAGTATGTATTATTCTGTGTTTAACAAATTTTCACATTACACTTTCCGACAAGAAATGCTAAAGCATTCTTTTTCAACACTCTTATTAGGTGAAATTTATGTGAATCCCATTAAATACTGATTTCCCGTTTGATGGGTCTCGTAGCTAAACTAGTGAGGCCAATATTCATTTCAATTAATAGGAGTAATATGTTCTTAATACTCTTCTCTCGGCAAACAACTATATTTAAAAAACTAGAAAAGTACGAATTAATATATGAAATTGTTATTTATATTGCTTTGGCATGCCAAAATTTCTGTTTATAAGTGAATTCCTGAAGTTATTACGTGTTAATAAATTCATCTCTTTGGAAACTAATTTGTATAAATCACAATTTTTGGAGATCAACGCAATACAAATCACACATTTTAATAACATCTTGTAATGGCTTATAAAGGTGTAATGTGTTTTCAATCATAAACAATGAGTTGGAAACTTCGCAGTAATTATTTTTCTACTCCAGCTAGCTAAGTATACCTAAGCAAAATCAGTGCTAATGAGTTATGACCTCAAAGGTACTCGGAAGAATGATACATGTATTCAGCTCAAGCAAATGAAAAAAGTGACCTAGAATTACCTGATGGACACGGAAAGCGAAACGCACTCCTTGCAGAATCAAAAACTCTCTAGCTGGTTCTTTTTCAGGGCCAGATAATGCATCAAGTTCAGATGCAACGCGTTTCATATACTTCTTTGCTAGTTGTACAGAAGAAAGCTTGATCTGCAATGTGAGGGTTATAACAAAGTAACCATGTTATCTACATCATCCATGCAACGTTATAATAACAGATACTCCAAGGCATACACTAGTGACTATAAATTGTAAATCTATTCATGACATTATCAACCATAATACAATCTTACCCTGATGAACCCATTATGCACTATTTGTCGCATTTTTTTTTCTTTTTCCTTTTCTTCAAATATAGCATACTGGTAATATTTCCATGATATTTAAAATTGTATGCTCAACAGTTAAAGAAAGAGTCCAACCTCTTGTGTGAACACAATATAAACCATTCGTATTAGTTTAGAAGCATACCTTGCCAACAACTCCTGAATCCAATAGCCAGTTTACTGGGATTCCAAATTCCCTGTACCGTGAAATAGCCATATCTCTTGTCCTCAAGAGTGCATATACGCTTTGCTCCACTCTGGAAACAAAAACATAACACAAATGAAGATATGAGTTGATAAAAGAAGTAATAAGTGTGTAGCTTTAGAGAACTGTAAGAAACATGACATACTAAACGTGTATATTTCATGTTAAGCATTTTTGTGACTTGAAATTAAGAATCAAGTATACATGAGAAAATGATTTAAACAGCTTTATCTGTAAGGATTATGTTATTAAGCTCTCAACTAGGTATCTACCAATGGTATTCATGAATCATGATAAATAAATCTATAGAAGGAAAGGATGCATACTTTTCAAGCAGTGAATACATTTTCTTCAGAGCAGCTTCACATGGGAGTTGGGGATCATCTATGAAGGTGGAGACTTTGTTCTCCAATTTCATCAAATCTTGATATTCAAAAGCTGCCTCCCTTAGTGCATCTGCTTTCCCTTCAGGCCAATCAAAGTGCTTGAGGACAGCTCGTTCATCAACCTTGCATAAGGAATAAAATGAGGTGGAAAATAGATTTATTTTTTCTGTTTCTGACGTGGGAAAATGAGATTACAAGTGAACCATTAAGTCAAAAAATTCGAATGCATTTCCTAAATAAAGGAAAATGAAGAGGTTTCCTTGGAAGGAATGTTTTAAATTTTAAGGAGAGCACAAAGGAGTTGACTGGTTTATCATAAAATTTCACTGATGAATATGCAATGACAGCTAAAGGCATACCAGGAAGGAAAGCTCTTCATCTAGCCAGTTCACAAAGGCCACCAGATCATTAATATCCGAGAAGGAGGCTGCTCGAACTTCAGCTGCCAATGAATTGACAAAATCACCTTGTGTTTCTACATCAGCTTTCACCTAATTGTTTCACGAAGGAGAAATATTTTTCAAAAAATGTGTTATGACTTCAGTGTAAAAATGAGAAAAATAACAAAATAGATGGAACCTTCAACATACAGCTAAGAGGAATGATGATCTATTCTCAATTTCGCCAATCATGTTGCTCCTAGCATCAGATGCATTACTTGTTGAAGAAACTAAAAGTGATGAAGTATCCTTCTTTGCCTCCCTTTTCATCAATGTTTGATAAAATTCAACTAGCTCCGGAGCTCGGTGAACTTTGTCACCATCCATTGCCCCTCTTGATAGGCTTCCTGGGGGAGGAGGTGGTGGAGGTGGACCACCTGGCGGCAACGGTGGCAGTGGAGCACCTGGAGGAGGAGGAGGAATTGGTGGAGCAGATGGTACTCCATTGGGAGGATTTGCATTTGTGCTGACAGCCGCACCACCAGATGGTTTAGGAGGAGGCCTAGGCACCCTAGTAGGCCTTTTCTCAATGTGAGCAAGCTTCATCTTGCTAATGGTTTGATTATCAGCATTCTTTCCATCCTCAGATTGATCATTTGGAGTGCCAGATACAACTGGTTTCTCCTTTATTTGAGTAAGCTTTGGTGGCAAAGATATAGGACTCCCTCTATCAGCCTTGGTCATGCTCAAACCTGAATTGTCACCAAACTTCAACACTCTTGCTTTCTCAGCCTTTTCTTTAAGTTGTTTTTCCCTTGCCAAGGCCAACTTGTGGCGATCTTTATACGCAGGGTACTTCTCATCCAGAGATCCATCAACTGACTTAGACATCAAGTGGAATGAAGTAGCAACAGAATTTAAGGAGTCACTAGATGGAACTCTTTTCATGTCAGTTGGTGTTTCAGGAGAATCGGTAGGTTCTTGGTCCCTTAGCCCAAAGCTGGTGATGGCTACACTATCACCGGCATTTCTTAGCATTAAGCTTTCTAGGGGACCTCTAGGTTTAACACTCATACTCATTCTCCTTGGAGAACCTCCTGAAAAGGATCTTGATGGTGATGAAAGAGCACTAGAATCATCTTTGCTTTTACCCCATTTCTTAAATTTTTGGATTAGGCTAGTTTTCTTGCTGAGACTACTATATTTGCTAGTAGAGCTATCAATGGAAGCATTGTCAAAGTCTTCACTTCCTGGTGAAGAAGGATGAGAGAAGTTGCTATCAAGATCTGTGTCCCCTTGTCCACGTTCTGATCCAGCATATTCTAACATCAGCTGCTTAGCCTTCTCTTGTGATTTTGGGCTGAGACTCTTGCTGAGATCACGTGCTGATAATTTTCCTTGGGGTGTCTGGTAATTCCTTAGCTCATACCTCAAACATGCATTAACCCAACGAAGGTATACAAGCTCCTCAACTTCACTGAACCTATTCATCTGTAGCCCTTCCACTTGCTTTAGCAGGTCTTCATTTGCATGCCTCAGGTTGCTAACCTCCTCTTTTGCCTTGGCAACCATGTCACTCTGCAGTTAAAGATAAAGCTTTTTGAAATGAATCACACTCATTGCATGTACAAATACACTTGTAAAACATTAATTATCACTAACATGAGAGAAGTATAAGTACTTCATGACATTCTAACAGGATTCCATCTAATTTATGTAGCTCCACAAAAGAAAGTTTCTAAATTGTTATTAGGTTAATGTTTAGTTTGGTAGTTTATATTTGATATTCACTGATTGTGTTCAGTGCTTTCAATTCAACTATCATTTCACTCACTGATTACTTAAATATTCAGTTGATTGGTAAACAAAGATGACTAAGAAGTGACACCAAATCATTGAATTTAAATTTTATGCTTCTAGGTGTTTGAAAACTTCAAAAATCTGCTAGTTCGCCTATAAGAAATTACTAAAATTTGATTTCATGAATCTGTTCAACTCAATGATGAAGAACACTAGAAAAGAAGTCAACTCAAGGATTCCGACCTCTGTCATATTGGAGAGCTCAGCTGCTCTAGATTCAGCAGCATTGAGTTTAACCATTAGCTCTCGCTTCTCATGTTGAAGTTCTTTGTTTTGTCTCTTAAGCTCAACTACCGCAACCTCTAAGTCATTCACAGCTTTCAATTTCTTTTCAAGTTGAGCATCTTTTCTGGCAGCCTCTTCTTCTTTCACTTGTAGACCAGAAACTTGTTGTTTAAGCAACAACAACTGGCTTTTTGTTTGGCTAGCCTCAAGCTGTATCTGCCTTTGTAGCTCCTTGATCTTGTTTCTAGCCACCTCAAGTTCTCTCTTGGATGAACCTCCTTGTGTGAGTTCTTCTAGAAGTTTCTTCCTTTCTGCCTGCAAGGAATTGATTGTA